TCCACTTGGGACCTCCGTAACAAAGAAGTTAGCGTGATTATACCACGACGCAGGACAGGTTTTCGGTCTAACTTCTAACCAGATGTTGCTCTGTGGAATCGGTTCCCAATCACAATCAGGTTGTGTGAGACTGTCTGATCATTTCGCAGTAGGCTGGGAAGCTACCCAGACCTGGACTTTGTTCGTGAAGAAGATCAGTTGACGAGCTACTTAATGAAGGCCCAAAGAAAGTCTAGTGGGTGAAGTACCACAAGTTTATGCAATGTAACTAACCATCAGTGTTTACAAAATACGTAAGCTGCAAAAGTGCCTCATAATTTCGCATAAATCATAAACATATGAGACGCATACCATGTCAGAAACTGACAAATATAAGAACTTCACTTTACATTGCCTGTGTTACTTGCTCATATATGATCGTGTGAAGTAGGGACGCAGCTTCTTAGTTGAAGAGAAATATACCGAGTATTATTATATCGAAAATGGAAAGAATGGGATTGATCAACAAGAAGATGAGAGTAGAACAAAGGAAAGCGGTTTTTGGGATTCAAGCAGACTGTTTCATTGATTTGCAAGTGAATGTAAGAAGGAAAATTGCGGAGCAGCGTTGGTGGCACTGGCTTCTACTGCAAACCACGAAGTTAAAAGTTCTAGCCACGAGGAGTCTGTGTCGCATTTAATAACACTCGACGAACGCTACGTGTAAGGATATACCCCACATACTCTCTTTACATCTCATTGGTTTTCCACCACAATATCCTTCTCAATCACATGCAGAATGCGCAAATAATGTACTGTGTGGAGACATACTCAATACGTGGCCGAGAAAGTGCATACTCTCAAAGAACAGTCCTTGGAATCAAAGACTGTTCGCCAGAGGGAGCTACCCCTATGCATGAGAAGTGCAAGTAATGGCTGTCAAAAATGGCAATCGTTTGGAATCGTTCAAGCGAAAATGTCAGGTCTGAAAGTCGGGCAAGAGCACTGATTGTGCAGGGGACGTTTTAGACCCATTATTGAGCTAGAAATTAATATCGCGATGACGGCCAACATGGTATAGGCTCCCGTAATGATAACGGTGAGCGGTTACTTCATTTGTGTGAGGATGCTCGCTTGTTTCTTGCGAGCACTAATTTCCGACACAGCACCCGTCGGAGGGTGACTTGGCGCCCACCAGCCTCGAACCAGCGATGGACGCAAATCGATCACATTGCTATCAGTTACCGCTGGAGAGGCTGCGTCCAGAACTGTCGCTCGATTTGGAGCACGTGTGTGGACACCGATCATGCACTTGTATGTGCTGACCTGCGGATGCGCTTTGGTGGACGCCCGCGACGATGTTGTGAGCGCATTGACACCGGCAGACTGGTGAATCCAGCTGTTCTGAACGCCTATCAAATTACGCTGTCATCCGAGTTGGATAAACGCTCACTGGATGCAATTGAAGCTCACTGGTCTCATATGCAACAGGCCTTACTAGCAGCAGCCAAATCCTCACGTGGTATGTCTAATCGCCAACATGAACATTGGGTCTCTACACAGTCTTTGGAACTTATAGATGCTCGCCGGCATATCCCGGCTCGAAGCGAACACAATGAAACTCGCAAAGAGCTCCGGGCAAAACTCCGTGCTAGCCTGAAGAGAGACCGCGAATCCTGGTGGTCTCGTCGTGCAGCGGAGATGGAAATGGCCGCTGCCCTTGGTAACCATCGTGAGTTATTCCGTCTTATACGGGAAACGGGCAGCAGGAGACCTGGTGTTAGTGAAACTATACGTCAAGAGAGTGGACAGCCTATCCACAACTTATCAAAACGCCTGGAACGTTGGGCTGAGCATTTTGAAAGGCAATTTAATCGGTCGGAATTGTTAGATTTCTCGCCGACCAGTGATCGCCCCACTCCCTGGGCTGTCCCTTTGGATCCACCCTCTAGCTCAGAAGTCGAACATGAGATCAAACTGTTGAAGTTAAATAAAGCCGCGGGACCCGATGACCTTCCTCCAGCCCTCTTCAAATTCGGGGGACCTGCTCTTGTGGATGATTTACACGAGTTACTAGTCCAACTGTGGGAGCAGGAAACTGTCCCAACCGATTGGAGCCGATCCATTATAGTCCCAATTTTCAAAGGAGGCTCACGATCGGAATGCGGCAGCCATAGAGGAATCAGTCTGATCTCCATCGCCTCCAAATTGCTTGCCTCTGTCATCCTTCACAGACTGACTGGCACTCGTGAAAGCCAGATTCGTGAAGAGCAAGCTGGATTTCGTCGAGGTCGTGGCTGCATTGACCACATCTTCACCTTGCGTCAGTCGTTGGAGCACTGTCACACATATTGGCGGCCCACCGTTGTCGTGTTCCTCGATATCAAAGGTGCATTCGATTCGGTGGATAGACATGCACTTTGGGACTGTCTACTCAGGAAAGGTGTACCTGAGAAATATGTGAATACTATTCAAGCATTATATGCGCGTAGCTCGGGAAGAGTGAGGGCTTACGGCAAGTTGTCGTCGCCCTTTAATATCTCCAGTGGCGTGAGACAAGGATGCCCGCTGTCACCTTTACTCTTCAACTTCGCTGTTGACGAAGTCATGGAAACCGCGTTTACAGGACACGACTTAGAAGGTGTGGAGTTACTCCCAGGAGAACGACTTCTTGATTTAGAGTATGCTGATGATATTGCCCTCATCTGTGACAGCTCACAAACGTGCCAAGCGGCACTGGACAGATTGGCACTAGCTGTCCGTCACTTCGGGCTTTGCTTCGCACCTTCGAAGTGCAAAGTGTTTCTCCAAGATTGGTCTGGACCGCCTCCTACGCTGACCCTTGGTGGGGATCAGCTAGAAGTCGTTCAAAAATTCAACTACCTGGGAAGTTGTATCAGCGCCCGTGGGATTGAAGATGAAATCACGAATCGTATAGCAAAAGCTCGGGGCGCTTTTGCTAATCTTCGCCACTTATGGCGCCGGCGCGACATCACTTGCCCTGAAGGGTAGAGTGTACAATGCAGCAGTACGTTCGACCCTATTGTACGGTTGTGAAACCTGGCCGCTTAGAGCAGCGGACCTGAAGAGGCTAGTTACGTTCGACCACCGGTGCCTTCGTAATTTAGCTCACGTTTGGTGGGAACACCGCGTGAGCAACGAGCGTGTTCGACGCCTTGTTTATGGCACAGGAAAAGGAAATGAACCGCTCAGCACCGTTATTTCACGCATCAGGCTCCGATGGCTCGGCCACGTGGTACGCATGCCAGCCCACCGACTTCCGCGACGTGTGTTGTTTGCGCGCCGGGGGTGTGGATGGAAGAAGAGGAGGGGTGGCCAAGCGATGACTTGGTCCAGAGGAATGAAGACCCTCACTTCTGAGCTGGCCTCGGTTGGAGCGTCTCGGCTCCCTGGTTGGGATCCGAAAGACGATGAACACGTTTGGTTGGACACACTTGCTGATATGGCTAGGAGCCGATCTCAGTGGCGTTCGTGCTGTGAGTTTCTTTGTCCCACCCCATCCCTCTTAGCCTCCCCCTCCAACCACGAGCTCATTACTTAGCCTTATATAATTTTGCATAAAAATTATTTTTTGGGTGCACAGCAGCCGGCTGGTAGTTTACCGGAACGATGCCCATCCGTTACCGGTAGCTCAGCCAGCTTTCACCAGTTGTTCTTTTTCTCTCTTTTTTTCTTTGTATTGTGGCACAGTAGCTGAGGTGTTTCCCACCTCTAGCTAACGTGTATGATGATGATGACGACGATGATCGCGATGACGCCACAAATGTCACATGCCAATGAATGAAAGATAGGTTCTATCAATACGTCGTCGAATATGGCGATGCAAAGCTTTAGATATATAAGGGTAGGAACTTTCTAAAACTCGGCCAGGCAACAGTGACAGGTAAGTGGATCTGCCAATCGGGAGTAAAAGCCTAGAAAATGGATGGTGCAAAGCATGGGGCATAATTAAATCGCTGGGGTCCATGTAACCAGCTCTGTGCTTGAGTAGTAAAAATTGGCCGGTGGCTGGTAACGCTGCAGGACATGGCTCGCAGTCGGCACCAGTGATAACTGCGCTGTCTCGCCGATGTCGTCATAACTTTGCACGACAGTTGTTTGTGAGGGTACCTTTTCGTCAAGTTGAAGGCCTCTTGACCCTGAATGTTTGCTTAGGGCATTGAGGTTTTAAGATAAGTTCCTCTCCTCTCCCTCTTAATAGTCTACGTTCAGTAGATCAGCGTGGTTGCAGAGCAGCGAAGCATCAGTTCAGGTGGCTGACATAGTGCAGTTGTCTTCCCCGAATCGACTCTTCGTGACCCCTTGCTTTATGATATAAGGAGACGGAATTTTGCGTAAAGATTATGCACCTAAGTATTTTGATAGTTGAACTCCATCGACCCATGGAATTGCGCAAGCGCGACTGTGCATAGAAACTGAGCGATCTGTGTGGGAACAGAGAGGCAGAGCATCAAACAACAGTTCGTGTGGTGTGTAACTCCCGTGCTGAATAGGAGTGCCTGTATTTGGTCTGATGGGTAACAGTATTTGCCACTACTCAGTTGGTAATAATGGATACATTGAGGCACAATGATAATAGTAATATTAGTTACGACCGGTGTCCGAGTGGTCTGCACGCCTGGCTTGCAATCATAAGGTCACCAATTCGAATCCGCGTATGGGGTGAGGGTCATCGCTGTATACTCAGCCCGCGCGCGACTGGTGGTGGTCGCGTGGTAGTAAAGCGTCGTTACGGCGTACAGCTGATACATTGTTTGCCTATTATTATTTCAGTTCAAGGAATAGGCACCATGAGATAATGTGAACCGGCATGCGGACACAGTAATCAACTACACTACGTAAGTGGTAGGCGCTTAGAGGGTCCAAGAAGAAATAAAATATGTCAAATATCGTTGCATAGTTTACCGGAGAACATTGAGAAAAAAGCATTATGAAACAAAGACGTCCTAAAAACTTTTCTGTGTACAATAATATGTGAATTAGTACGAATTATAACAAACCCAGACAAGCTGTGCCCATCGCTCGGAGCACTGTGGACGCCAGAATGCGGAGCACACAACCAGGCTGGCAGAGAATGCGTGTCTAGTTCACGCAGAGGACTTCTGGAGAAAGAACGGAATGAATTGGTCATAGGAGAAGGCTTGGAATCTGCCCAATCCAGGTTGGTTTGGTAACGAGAAAAGACGGGACGTTCAGGCTGAAAGAGAAATATGATCAGTGCTGGTGTGACAGAGGAAAAGGAAAAAAGTGAAGGCATGGCTAGACAACGCAGGCTAGAGTTCGGATTCCATAGACAAAAGATATTGGGTAGCAGGAGTGGTGGTTGAGCTTACCCACTATGTGGGAAATTGGTCGTGGAAAGAAAAAGAGCGGCATATGATGACCAAATGTGAGGCAATTTTCAATTAACGCCATAATGAACTACCGAAGAGTGAAAGTTATGCTACATTGTCGGATTGCAGATATGTGATTCCAATTGCCGCAGATTACCATAACAATTTCAGCGCCAGAATGATAAATGAAATGGAATCAGCAGTACGCCGGCACGCATTATATATACTTCAATGCCGAGCAAACTCCAGTAGTTGTGCGCGGCCTAGGGATACTGCGAGGGTCACCCGGTCCCCTACGCAGGCTCGAACCAGCGCCCTCGGATTACAAAGCAGACTTGCGATCCTTCAGGTTACGGGTCGGCAGCCTGCACTTTACGTCCTCGTACCTAGTTCATCTCGAACCGGCAATCGAAAGTGAGACTTCTCACGGCAGTCGCAAAGTACTCAGTTGCCAGAACAGGCCTAGGCTGGGCTGCTGAACAACCTACTCGTGGTACCAGCTGGGTGGTCCGGGATTATCTCGGTCCAGAGAATGGTTCAGCGGCAGCGTTCAAGGAGGTGATGGGTTTTCGCCTGGCAATCGTTCTCCCAATAAAAGCCACACGTGTCCGTTTAACAACACTGCGACGTGATGGATGTGACTCGCCACTAAATAAAGTCACTGCCCCTTGTTTCACCGTGGTGAAGCATTGTATCCCAGCATCTTGCTGCTGAAATCATGGAGAAGATTGGGCCCGTGTTTGGCTACTCAGCAAACAGGCCTAGGGAAATTAATCACTGATTTGTTTTAGAACGATCAATTTCAAAAGGCTTGTTCTGGCAACTGAGTAATTTGTGGCTGCCGCGAAAAGACTCACTTTCCGTTACCGGGTCGAGAGTAACCAGCTACGAGGTAGAGTGCAGGCTAACGTACAGTGAAGTCGAACGCCGATCGGGCAGTTGCAAAAATACAGTCCAGAAAGGTTGAAAAAAGCTTTCGCTACGAACAGCTGGAAATTGCACGATGGATGCCGGTATTGACCAACCTATTGGTGTCTCAAGTCCCCGGGTACATGCAGCGGAGCACGGGATTGTAGACAACAAAGGTCTGAAAACCGTTGGACACATGGATCACTTCAACTAATCAAGCGAGTCACAAGTTGACATAATTCGTAGCACATTTCCATAAGTCGCAAAAATATAGTAGGCACGTAAACAGGTAACATCTAAAAGTAGCGCATTGGTCTTCGGTTTGTTGAAACCAGACTGATCTTTTCCCGCTTCAGCACGATTTGTTAAGTGACGGAACAAGGCTCTGTGTGCAGACGGCATAACAAAGTAGGAACTCTTGGTTTGAAGACAGCAACTTCTTCAGAAGACAGTGTGTTTGTGGCAATGTGTGCCCCGGGAAGGTGCTATAAAGAAACGTCTAGCTGTTCCGAAAACCATAGTTCACGATAACAGGAACAATGTAGTGGGACATGGGAGAAACTAATCGGAATTCAACAAGGCGAGAGGGATGAGCTTTGGCAACTTAAAGTCATCCTTTATTTTCGACACAGTGAACAATGCGAATATGAATGGCTCTGTTGCACAGATCCCTTACGGACCGGGTGTTCTGGCCAGTGACAGCTCAGCAAACTTAAAGTACGCGGGCACAGCTGCCACATAATTACTGCTGATTAAAGCGACAGAGAGAGATGGACTCCGCAGTATATGCTCCGAACCTTTCTTGCCTAAAGACTTATAACTACGGTTACCGATGGGAGATGACGACTCGGAGTTGTGAATCAGCTAGATGGAAGAGGTGCTTCGTATGTGTAAAAGAAAGGGACGAATCGAAAGTGAAAAAGGGGAAATGTAGGCTATTCGGTGCGAAGGAAAAAGCGCGGACCGCATAGGAACAGGAGGCGACGCACCTACTTCGTTTCGCCGTCCGATGGCATGAGACCAAGGTGTTTCCCCGTAAGTACAACGTATATACTGGGAGGAAAGCGTACAATGCCGAAGAGATCCTGAACCCAGCCCACGAAACTTTACAAAGTTTCATTCATGAACCCAGATGGCGAGGTGCCGGTTTAACGCATGGCCCCGAAATAAGGTCAGTGTGACTGCACTAATCGGAGAAATGGACACTTCAGGAAAACCTAGCGTAGTTGACCACCGGCGGTACCCATAGCACCAAGCATGTTTAGTGTGCCTACCGAAAGAGTAACGCATAACCTAGCAGGTGTTGTGCAATGAGTCCTCTAGCGCTACCCTGGATCTTGAGCCCACCACATTGGTTACTTAGAGTCCTCAGAAAGCCAGTCAACTTCCACGCGACCTGGATTAGCTCTCCTTACCATGTCTTGTTATGTGAAAATACATAGCGCTGCGCTGATGACGCCAAAAGGAGTATGAATGACCCATGATGAATAACTTCGTTGAGCCACTACATGCCTTCTTCCATGATGGCGTTCAAGAGATGGGGTAGAGCCTTTGCAAGAAAATGGCTCGTCGTGAAGATAACAAAGCTTTTGCATTCCGCACATTGCAATTATCCGTAGATAAATCAGACTGACGACCGTACCATTCAAGTCAACATTAGTTAAACTTTGTTTGCATTCTTTATCTTGTAAAAAATAAGAGTAATAAGCATCGTCAATGTGGAGATGCGGGGCATGGTAAATGCAGCCATTAAGTTCCAGTAACTTGAGCATTGCTAAGCACCGGTTCGATCCTACCGAAAATAAACTGTTATTATAAAGAAACAAGAGCATACACAAAAGAAAACAACAGAGAATACAAGTGTTCTCACCATTGTTGCATTGTCAAAGAGATCCGGTTTAAATCGAGATGTTCGGAAGGAACAAGCATCCTCGGAGTTCTCTACCTCTTCTACAGGTTCAGTTAACGTGGCCAATTGGATCGGGGTTTGGGGTGAGACAAACATTTGGAGAATCCGCTCGCCCCGACCTTCGGTAACTGGTGTTCGAATAGCGCACAGACGCCGAGAGGGCGATCGTAGTGGGGAAGTGGCATTATTCCAAGACGGGTTAGAACAGCCGTCAAGAATCGAAACAGGTTCATCGTGGAACACCAGAAACATGCGGGCAAGTTTTGAAGCTGCTCGACCTCGGAGGCTGCCTCCACGTAGTAAGGACTAAAACAGCAAGTATGTAGCGACTGACAATGACGACTAGGCTAAAATTAACAGGCAACAATCAGAGATTAAAAAATTCAAACAAGCGAGGAGATAAATTCACAACAGGGAGAAGAAACGGTATAATGGCCTGATGGAAATTTCAACAAGTCAGCGAGAGAGAAGAGAGTCATTTCCATGACAACCGCGATACTACAGAAAATCTCCAGCTGTTGGTGAGGCCGACCGCAAAAGAAGCATCCAAGCTAATGTCATGCGTCAGCTCAACATCTTCTCATGCTACTGACTCAGCCGTCATCCATCCGCCCGCCGGTTCCTGCTGTGGCCTGTATGTAGACTTTACCGTTAGCAGTCTTGTGAATAAGTGCGACGAACACAATCGTTTCGCCGCGTCTGAGCTGCAAGACGGTGAGACTAGCAGAGTCATGGCTGAATTCTGAAGCGATTGTCTAGGAAATCGAGCTCAGTGGTTACTCGTGCTTCCGCTGCCATAGACTTTCGACTGGGCGCGGTAGTCTTACTCTACACCTGGTCTTCTTTGTGCGTGAGACATGTGAACGCCTATAGAAGCGACGATGACCGAATTTGAACAGCTATGGTGCCCAATTCAACTCAGGAGCAGAGAGTTGTTCGCGAATGCAAGTTATTGCAGTCCCCTGAGCCTTTTCGACTGACGGTCACATGAGACGTCTCAACTTTCTACTCACGGGTGGTTTCAATTGTTCTTGTGTATGCTGGCTGGAAGTCCAACTCATGCCGGGACCTTGTGTGGTCGAAGCAAAGTGGGTGGATTTCGTACCTAAAAGCGGAGCAGTGCAACATATGCCAACCGACACGAACAACACCGCACACAATTCCATCGTGCCTAGAGTTGATGTGAACAAGGTATGAACAACATGTGCATGACGTTCAGGTTCTGAGTACCTAACAGTAGCACCTATCTCGTATCTAGCATGGATGTACCTCTACTAGATTCCCGTCTGTTAGAGTCACCTCACAACTAATAAAACTGACCTCGACGGTCTAACTCCAGCCGCAATAAGTGGACTGGTCACTGCCACAAGCTACATCCTTGGAAGACTGTTGGACTATTTTAAAAGGCCGCTCGTTAGAGAATCTTTGCTTACATGCAGCGTAACCTGAAGCCCGCAAGTGATTTATCACTGCTAGAGGACTGGGACGGACAGTCTCCAAACTCCAGCATTAAGCGCGCGTCCGCGTTCGAAGCGTACTTCGTTTCCAGATTTACAAATGACAGGTGTTTGTACCGAGTTCAATGTGTACCGTGCCTACCGAACTCGACGCTCTGGTTTGCGGTGTTGAGGAGGTGCGTCAACCACCTGCCAACCTTGACAGCACCAAACTTGCTGACGGACTCCACCCAGTGATTCGCAAGTTCCTATCGGCCATCATTTCACCTGCCGTGATTGACTTGTTCATCAAGCCACTGTCCGAATATTCCGTGCCGCGTGACTGGAAAGGCTCAGTGGTAAAGCCGATTCCGAAAAGCAATGACCTCAGCAAAGTGAACAACTATAAACCAGATAGTTTGACACCAATTTTTGACAAGGTTGTGGAAAAGATCGTGACGGAGGGTCTCACACACCTGCTCCAATCAGAAGATATATTGACGCCTGCACAGCACGGTTTTATGCTAGGTCACTATGCATTTCCAACCTGCTGATGATAAGGCATGAATGTTTGCAGGTAATGAAGCAGGAGAAGTCTGTTGACGTAATCTACATCGATTTCAGCAAAGGACCTCTTCCACAAGCTGAGGGTGTGCGGTGTTGATGGATCTTCACACCAGTGGATTCAGAACACCCTCGTTGGACGAAAGTGGAGGGTCCAGGTCGACGATCATGTACTAGTGTCCTGCTCCGAGGCATGGTGCTAGAGCCTACCCAGTTCTTAAGCTACAGTAACGATTTATCTCAGCTTCTACGGTCGCCATGTTCCCTGTTTGCCGATGACATGAAGATTTGGAGAGTGGCTAACGTCCCAGACGACCGTAGTCTACCTAAGCAAGACGCTAACCGCCTCTCCATGTGGTCTGCAGAAGTCGTAATCCAGACAAGCAAGCCGGTATTCATGATCATGGGGTAGGGTGGTGACGGCCGGACTTACACCACAGACGGCAAACAGCTACATCCCACGCCTTCCGTAAAGGACCTACGTATGCTCTAGTGCTGTGATTTGAAGTCCGTGGACAATACGAACAAGCTATAAGGCAACAGACTGCGCATGCTTTCAGAGCTCAAACGCAGCATTTATACTTGGTCTGCAGTGGTCGCCACTCGCGTCTTCTATTAGTACCAATACTGGAGTGCAATGCGCCTATCTACTGTCCTTCACCCGAGGCAGGGCACAGAAGACCGAACGGGTTCAGCACGTCGCTAACAGGCTCATCCCAAAGTTACGGGATTGCCGTATGAAGATCATTGCAAGAAACTAGGACTCTACAACTTGTCCTATTGTCGGGTTCAAGTCGATCTCATGACCCACCGCATATTACATCTCGGTGACTCCCCCCGCGGCGAGGCCACCGCCTCACCTAAGAACACCATACAGCACACGCAGACGGTGGTACAAGCTTGTGGTGAAGTATATAAAACCGTTATCCCACCCCCTGTGTTTCGAACGGATATTGGCAAATTGTGGTAAGTTGTGGAGGCCAAATATGCGCAGCAGTTGAAACATTGTTGGATATACCACCTTTCACCACCATTTGACTCAGAGGAAGATTGTATTGGCAATTGTGAGCTCAGTGATACTGTGAGTTCTACGCTTTAAATGCTACGCAAGAAATACAAGTAAGGGTTAGATTATCAACAGATGGCAGATATTGTTTATAAAAATGCGATAGAGTTGTACAGATTCAAATATCTACTTGCTCCCACAATACATTTCATTCAGCAGATGTGTCACTGAAATAAACGGTCCGGTATCAGCAAGCAGACGTTAAACATTTCTGGGCAGAACAATCCGAATTTTCACTCTGTTGACAAGACAGGGTCGAATGCCAGTTTTCTAACGGGGACTACGCATCCCCACATTACCGAGACGTTTCTTGATGATAAAGCACGCACAACGCGCAGTATCTAGTTTTCACAAAAATATGCGAGACTAACAGGGATTGTGGAAATAGTTTAACCAAGGAGAATATTCCTAGAAAACGGATGTAAAAACGACGTCCTAGCGAGAAAACTAACGGTCGATTTAAAGGCCCGTCCTCGACAGAGTGCAACGAGATGTGACCAAAGAAGACATAAATACTAGTATGAAGGCGATCTTTTGGTATGCGTGATGGTCAAATGGGGAACACCAAAAATATATCTGAAGTGAACTTACTCGTCCAGGTGTCTCACTGCATGAGACCGCATCCAACGCAGTGATTTCGGTCAGTTTATGACACAAAGTACTGACCGCCTGACTGATGCGTTCATTGGTAAAAACCCTGTCATACACCTCATCTCCATCACATTTACCAGCGCCAAGCATCGGCTTACGAAGGAAACGTCCCGTGATACGGATACATCTGGTCACGGCAGCAATCGCTTCCTCGTAACCCATTCGATCTTCGGAAGCACTATTTACCAGGTCTTGATCGTCCGAAACCCCGGATAGCGCATCTTGACATTTGGTTAGACACTCGACCAAATGATGGAGCCCAGGCTTCCATTGCTCCAATGCCCGGAAATCTTCGCTTGAACCCACTTTGTTATCGCTTGATGTTTGACAGGTGAAAGATATTGCCACCTATGGTTAGTAATAGAATAATAATGAGACCACAAATGTATTTTATGCAGATGACAGTGTAATCGACCAGTTCAGTTATAGTAATAAGACGTGAGGATGATGAAAGGTTAGTCCCACTTAACCCAACGACAACGGCACAACAACAGTGAGAATGTCGACTAACGGAGAAAGATTCAAAGGTTCAAGAGACAACGGTGATACAGTAGTTTGGCTAGCATTTAGTTGTTTTAGTGGACAAGATTGTCATATGTGGATGTGGATATTCTTTGTCTGTCACTGAGACTATGGACAATAGGAGTACAATAGTGTCTATAGACGAGTCATAGACCGCTTGTGATGAAATCATCGTTGCCTGTTCCCTGGACTTGGCAGGGTCAAGAAAACTGCACCCTTGCAGCCCGAACCCCGACCACCAGCCTCCTAGAGGCATTGGAGGCGATAGGCAGATATCCAGTGTATACGAAGCATGACGACTTGATGTGTAACTCAGGAATAACTGCCAAGCACACCTCAATCATATAGGTAAGGCCCAACTTGGAGGACATTGTACCACACATGTCTCGTCAGCCCCGGAACCGGTGCACATACAACGGTCACATCGATATGATACGGAAAGAGCATGTTGAAAGTAAAACTCCAAAGACTGCTATTTGTTGACAATGAAATTGTGAAAAGCAAGTAAACCAACGACAAAGATCCGTGAATCAAGGTGACGCTTGGAAAGTCTGGGATATACAGTCCAACGTGCTATGGCGACCAGCCGAAAATATCGCCAACTTTTCTCCTATGAGTAACGTCCATATGCACGAACCTGTCCATGGTGACCACCTGTCCAAGGCGACCACCTTTTTGTCGGCCCTTGAGTAGTCGCCTTAGACAGGTTTGATTGTACTAGATCAGAAAAGTGAACCAGTGCATAAATTAATGCGCGTTAAAGTGCCTACGGAGTAACTTAGCGGCGGGATGGGCCACAGATATAGTGAAGTGGATGAAGTAACAGAAAATACGCGGAAGATGTGTCGTAGAAAATTCTGGTAAACCAAATCACTGCACTAGTGCCGTGAAGCAATCCACCCTCTTAAGACAAATACAAGCCGTTGTAGTGACAAGCGATGAACGCTACCTGGCAAGTTTGATCCTGTGAGAGGAATCAGTGTTAGGGATTCAAATAGGGCATTACTTTGGCTTGACTCATTGCGCAAGTAGATAGCAAAAAAAGTGAAGCTGGATCGATGGAAGCCAAACCGCATGCGTAATGAATCAAGAGACAAATGATTAGGCCGGATGTACACTGTAAGCCCTAATTCGAAGCCAGTCAACGATCCACAAGAGAGAACGGTACGTATCCAGTGCGGGTTTCCAGGCACGTTCAGTTATAGGCTTCATGAAGCGTACTGGAGCAGCAGTTACAATACAGGATAATCTGGGGGCGCGGGTGTTCATACTCCTAACGGCTTGCCAACTTATATCGTCCTGATTCTAAGTGAAATGGTCATAGCATTCGCACCAATTGTTGTGTGCCAATCGCTGTTTGTTAAAGCGCTGTTTTTTACTTTCGACACCCCATGCCAGATAAGACAAACCGTTGGGTTAACGTCACTAGTTTCTTTAGCATCTTTGACTACATAGAATATGTATAATATGCCATCAGAAAAACTGGGAGAGTCTATAGACTGAGTCTGAAACTGACTCACACGTACTCCCCAAAAATCGTATTTGCTGACCATCAGATTGTCTACTGTGTTCCGGAGACAAGCATGTGATAGCTTTATTCAAACTATCTTGACAAAGACGGTTTTCGTAGCTCGGACGACAACGTTGCCGAGCACGGGAGCAACATCGGAAAGACGACAAGCACTAACTCGACTGGAATGTTTCATACTTTTCTCCTGTGTCACACTCACAGACCACTACAGGATTTCAATTTAAGTGGTTAGGGTATTAAAAAGCAATATACATCGCGGCAGGAATGTGGAACACATTGGTGAGGTACCGATGGTGCATCGAGTTAAACAGGCAATCCAGTGCAGACCAGGAGAGTGTGATACCAAAACCAAACGAGGAATTCACGTACTGTTCACTAAGTTCCCTTACCAAATATGAGCAACACTAAGCAGACGCCGATGAGCATCCTCATAAATATTAGTTAGCTTAGGGTCAGAAACACATCACAACCATTGTGGTGCAACACAAAAAGGCAAGATGTTAGACATTACAGACCAAAAAAGAAACAAAATGCTTAATATCATAATATGCATGGGGCATGCGATCGTTGTTGGAGAGCGAAGCTAACAAGGCTGAGAAGGATGATGAAACTCACAACATAAACGTCATTGCGGTAGGCTCCTTACAATATCAACAATTGTGTCCAACCAAACGTCTTCATTGTCTTTCGGACCCCAGCCCGGGCAGCCGGGAGACGCGAACGGACGCCAATTTCAAAGTGAGGGACTTCATTACTCTTGATCAAGTCATCGCTTGGTCTCCCCTCCTCCTGTTCCATCCACACCCCGGGCGCGCAAACAACGCATGACGCGGGAATCAGTGGGCTGGCATGCGCAACATGTGGCCCAGCCATCGGAGCCTGGTGAGTGATGTAACGGTGTTGCGTGTTCCTGCACCAAATACACTAAGCCGAACACGCTCATTGCTCACGCGGTGTTTCCGCCAGATATGAGCTAAACTGCGAAGACACCGGTGGTCGAACGTAACTAGCCTCTTTAGGTCTGTCGACAATATAGACCAGGTTTCGCAACCGTACAGGAGGGTTGAACGCACGACTGCATTGAAAACTCTGCTCTTCAGAGCGAGAGTGATTTCACGCCGGCACCACAGGTGGCGGACAGTAGCAAAAGCGGCTTGAGCTTTTGCTATACGATTACTGATTTCATCTTCAATCCCACGGATGCTATTAAAGCTGTCGAGATTACTGAATTTATCGACGATTTCAGCTGATCACCACCAAGGGTCAGTGCAGAGGTGGGTCTCTGCCAATCTTGTAGAATGACTTTGCTTTTCAAAGATGCAAAACAGCCCGACACGACTGACCGCCAGAGCTAATCTATCCAGTGCAGATTGGCACGTTTGAGAGGTGGCACACATTAGGCCAATGTCGTTGACGTACTCGAAGTCAAGAAGTCAGTCACCACACCTTGCAAGTTGTGTCCAGTGAACGCCATTTCCATGACTCCGTCAATGGTGAAGTTAAAGAGAAATGGTGACAGCGGGTAACCTTGTGTTACACCACTGCAGATATTGAAGAACGGAGACAGTTTAGATCAGGATTGTAAAGAGATCTCCTTTCGGTAATTCACAACAGGCAATTACAGGACTGTAATGGCAGAAGTGAGAACGGATGGGGTGGTTTGAACAGATTTAGCACATTCGTTCTATCCTCGGCCATCCGCACTGTCCAGGGTCACGGCGGAGGCCTGCCCAGAAGTAACAACAGTTCCACCTTGGAAAATATGGTTCACAGTAAGCACCGAATTTCGAACAAAGGTGCCTTCAAGTTTACTATGCCGCACAGAAGTGAACGGTTCTTGTAAACGGGTGAAGCGACTGATATCAGACCAGCCAGAGCAATGCAAGCGTAGGGTACTTGTGCAACACTTGACGAGAAATCGTTCCCCTGGTGTTTTTATTTATTTATTTATTCGAGTACGACTTCTGTTAACCTGTTGTTTCCTTGAGCGAATCTGTTAGTCACTTGATTAGACCAATTTGAGCATCGAACGAACGCGAAAAATCTGTTCGAATTGTCCCATCCGTACTCAGTTTTGCCTTCACCAGCCTACTGTCGCCTTTAACAGTCCTGTAGCTGTAATTGCTTAGTGTGCATTACCGAAAAAAGATTTCTGCAACACAAATCAACTGTGTTTTTATTTTTTCACGAGTATTAGTTCCGTGTTGAAAATGAGCAGTGAGCCCTCGGCAACAGTTTGCCATAAACCCTCACTCTGCCCGAAGTATGAAGGTACAACCTTCTTATGATATTTGCGTATTTATCTGGTACATCTTTCCTAATAAGACAGTTCCAAAGGACAAACTGATCAGCCGAATCGAAGGTACCTTCAATGTCTAGGAAGACGACAACGGTGGGCCGCCGATAAACATGGCAGGGCTCCAACATTTGGCGTAATGTGAAGATGTGAACAATGTGGCCTCGATTTCGAGGAAACCCAGCTTGCTCCTCGCGCATCTGGCTTTCAGGGGTGCCATTCAAAAGATGGAATACGACAGAGGCAGATAAATTAGAGGTAAATGCTATTAAACTGATTCCTCTATGACTGAAACATTACGAACGGGTCTCCCTTGAAAATTAGGACTATAATGGAGAGGCCCCAGTCTAAAGGGACAGTCCCCTGCACCCACAGATTCACCAGTAAGTTATGCAGATTACTCATACGAGCAGGTCCCGCGAATTCGAAGAGGGCTTGGTGGCGACCTTGTTCAATTTCAACAGTTTGATCTCACGTTTGACTTTTGTGCGTGAGAGTGAATCCAAGGGGACGGCCCATAAAGAACGGCGATCGATGGCCAGTGGAGATGGCAAGTTTGATTAAATTGCTTTTCAGGGTGCGCTGCCCAACGCTCCAAGCGTCTTGACAAACTGTAGATCAGCTGCCCATTCTCGTCGCATATGGTCTTGTTAAAACAAGTTCTCCAGCTGCCCGTTTCTGGTAGCAGACAGGATAACTTCCGATGGTTACTAAGGGCAGCGGCTGTCTCCATGTCCGATGCACGATGAGACAAGCACACTTCGTGGTCTCTCTTTAGACTAGCACGCAGTTTCGCCCTGAGATCTTTGCAGATCTCAATGTGTTCGCTTCCAGCCGGAACACGTCCGTGAGGATAGAAAATTCTAGAGACTGTGTAGAGACCCAAAGTTCAGGTTGACAGTTTGATTTGCCACATGAAGACATATCTGCCACTAATAATGTCTGCTGGATATGCGAACAGTGATCTTCGACTGTGTTCAGTGAGAGCTTACTCAGGTC